CAAAATACCGTTAAGTAAGCTAATACATTCATAAATAATTAAATAAAAAGCAAACTAGTGTTTGTTTTTTGTTTTGTTAAAAAAATATTAAAATGTATTTATACAGCGATGTCAGTGTTACATTTTTTTTTAAAATTTAAACTTTTATTTGGACAATAAAAAAAAAATATCGTATATACGAAGTAAAGAGAAAGTCTTGTAATCGTGCCAAAAAAAAAATCGAAATTTTCACAGATATCGACGTTTTACACCTACCTGAGTCGGAGAAACATAATTTTGCAAATTTGTCCGTACGTCTGTGTGTGTGTGTGTGTGTCTGTAAACACGATAACTTGAGTACCGTTACAGCTAGGTTGATGAAATTTATATTTAATATTTACTTTTAGTAGCAAAGCACACCACAAATCAGGGGAGGGTAAAGCTTGAGCAAGGTTTCGGTTTTTGCTTTGTCATCCCCCCCCCCCCCTATCATCAAACAGACACTTGTATTGGCATGTTTTACCTTTAAAAATGTTTCCTAATACAGTACTATAAATACAGTAATTTAAATATGGCGCTATATATAATATAATGAAGTGTCGTAAATAAAGTATTATAGATACTTTAGCCCAGGGGTTCCCAACCCCGTGCCCGCGGGCGCCATGGCGCCCGCCGAACGATTCGTATGTGCCCGCCTCTCACTATTCGACAGAGACAGAATTTTTTTTATAAACATTATTGAAGGGGATGGAAATCGAAAGTTTGAGGGGAGGGGGGTGCAAATCGAAAATTTGAGGGGGGGGGGGGAGGTGCAAATCGAAAGTTAGAGGGGGGGGGGTGCAAATCGAAAGTTTTGTCCCCGGGTGACGGGAAGGGTCGCTACGCCTCTGGAAGGAGTTTGTCGATTTAAAATAGGTGGTGCCCGCCACCCTTCCGATATTTTAGAATGTGCTCTAGAGTCAAAAAAGGTTGGGAACCCCTGCTTTAGCCCTTATATTCAAAAATATATTTGTATATGGAAAATGTAGGCTTTTATATTGCTCATTTAAATTTCTTGTCAATTAGTTAAATTAAATCCGAACCAAGAACTTTTTTTTTTAATTAATTCGCTTACACTGGTTTCCACTTATCAATTTAAATTAACCAAGAAGAATAACCTACGAGTTTGCTCCCAAAATGGCTAAATGTACAAAGAAATTCATAAATAATTTTGAGAAATACAAAACATTGTCTAAAGTGTAAATCAAAACTAGAATATTTTTTACTATCTTATAAAAAGGATCGCTTAGTCTTTGTTTTGTAATTTTCAATTATTATCAGGCTCAAGTTTTAATTGCAAACAGCTTGCTGAGTTAAATAATTGACTTGTTGATATGATAAGAAAGTTCAGTTTAAACAATTTTGGTTCATCTATCACGAGCGATACAACACTCCGTGTAGCTCTGTTGTTTAAATTTATTTATAAAAGAAAATAATTGAAAATAGTACACACTTTAGATCTAGGTCGTAGTTGTTTGGTTTTGCGATTATTACAGTCTTGGTTGGGTAGTAGTTGATTCTTAGTTGGTTGTATCAATTTTCGTAGAGTGATCGTAGTCTAAAGCTAGTCTTAGATAAATGTCTACATTATATTAAGTGTGTTTGAATTTTATAATATGAGAAAACTTCAAATGTGATTGAGCTTTAATCATAGTTTTTACATATTTTTTTTAAAAAAAAACGTTTTTGTTTTGTTTTTTATAATACTATGCTAATTAATTTTTAACATCTAATTGTAAATTTATTTTAAAACTGATGACACTGTACTTTTTTGTTCGCGTTGTTTCCCTGTCGTTTCATTTTTTTTCCAAATTAGAGAAATAAAAAGTATTGGCAAATATGTATTTTAATTTTTTATACCTTCATTTTTATCTCATCACTGACCTCTGTCTCAATGTTGGACTGGCCCTACTATCTCATCACTGACCTCTGTCTCAATGTTGGACTGGCCCTACTATCTCATCACTGACCTCTGTCTCAATGTTGGACTGGCCCTACTATCTCATCACTGACCTCTGTCTCAATGTTGGACTGGCCCTACTATCTCATCACTGACCTCTGCCTCAATGTTGGACTGGTCCTACTATCTCATCACTGACCTCTGTCTCAATGTTGGACTGGTCCTACTATCTCATCACTGACCTCTGTCTCAATGTTGGACTGGTCCTACTATCTCATCACTGACCTCTGTCTCAATGTTGGACTGGCCCTACTATCTCATCACTGACCTCTGTCTCAATGTTGGACTGGTCCTACTATCTCATCACTGACCTCTGTCTCAATGTTGGACTGGCCCTACTATCTCATCACTGACCTTTGTCTCAATGTTGGGCTGGTCCTACTATCTCATCACTGACCTCTGTCTCAATGTTGGACTGGCCCTACTATCTCATCACTGACCTTTGTCTCAATGTTGGGCTGGTCCTACTATCTCATCACTGACCTCTGTCTCAATGTTGGACTGGTCCTACTATCTCATCTGGACCACTGTCTCAATGTTGGACTGGTCCTACTATCTCATCACTGACCTCTGTTTCAATGTTGGACTGGCCCTACTATCTCATCACTTACCTCTGTCTCAATGTTGGACTGGCCCTACTATCTCATCACTGACCTTTGTTCAATGTTGGACTGGTCCTACTATCTCATCACTGACCTCTGCCTCAATGTTGGACTGGCCCTACTATCTCATCACTGATCTCTGTCTCAATGTTGGACTGGCCCTACTATCTAATCACTGACCTCTGTCTCAATGTTGGACTAGTCCTACTATCTCATCACTGACCTTTGTCTCAATGTTGGACTGGTCCTACTATCTCATCACTGACCTCTGTCTCAATGTTGGACTGGCCCTACTATCTCATCACTGACCTATGTCTCAATGTTGGACTGGTCCTACTATCTCATCACTGACCTATGTCTCAATGTTGGACTGGTCCTACTATCTCATCACTGACCTCTGTCTCAATGTTGGACTGGCCCTACTATCTCATCACTGACCTCTGTCTCAATGTTGGACTGGCCCAACTATCTCATCACTGACCTCTGTCTCAATGTTGGACTGGCCCTACTATCTCATCACTGACTGTCTCAATGTTGGACCGGCCCTACTATCTCATCACTGACCTCTGTCTCAATGTTGGACTGGTCCTACTATCTCATCACTGACCTCTGTCTCAATGTTGGACATGCCCTACTATCTCATCAAAATTGCGAAATTTTGCAAAAAAAAAGAAATATATTTTCACAGAAACCTCCCATGGAGTGTTCTAATTGAGTCAATGTTTCATAGCACGGTGTCATAACGCATTCGAATTTTATTTGTTACATACCGTATATATAGAAAAAAAAATTCAGCTTTCTATAACTCAGACTACACGTTACTAGACGGTTTACCTTCCAGTATATCTCACGATCCTGACAACGTGGTCTATGTTAGACCCTTGCCACACATATGCTGGGCCGGTTAGAGAAATTCGGAACATCATGTAGACCCCTGGTAAAAACCTGCTAGACAAGTGTCGCAATAATACGTAGCACTCCAATTTATACATATTTAAGTCCCAGCGTAATTAGATATAGTTATATTGTATATAGGATATACCATATCATAGATAGTGCAGCCATTTAAATGTCACAAATATGATTATATATTATTATATGACCTTTTAAAAATATCAAATATATTTACATTGTATGATAAGGACGTTTAAATATCTCACTGTTTTATTTTATTTGTAAAAGTATGGTTTACCTTTCAGATCAGACTGACGACTCTTAATCAGTTCTTTTTTTTTTGCTGAGATTATAATGGAACAATGATCATGACAGAACGAAATAAAGAGACAATTAAACCAAAGTTGATGTGGTAAAGTCTATAACGGTGGGTGATCAACGTAAACTGAATAATTTAATACAGAGCACCCAGGGTGCGTCTAAGTGTTATTTTTGGACCAACGAAACAAATAGTCTGAAACACACCTAACACAAACAACACATCAACAGTCAAACAACCAATCAAACCAAAAAATCAAACAAAACAAACAATCAAACGAACCAAACAAACCAAACAATCATAATAAACAGGTAAAACGTTGTTAAATTGAATGTTTAGTTAAGTACCAGTTATTTTAAAAATGGACATGTAGATATAAAAGAAAAACCCTTAGATTTTAAGAACGTTAAATTTACTGATTTTAATATAAAACTTTCAATCAAGAACTGTTCTGCAACGGCTTTTAACGCTTTTCTCAAATTTGTTGATGCAATGGAATGAAAAAGAAACAATAGGCTTGAACTGCTGGTTCCAAATAGTTCCAAATTGTTATTGCCAGAAAGCGTATGTTTCAAGCAAAATTGATTATTTTATAATAATTGTGAAATGATTACAACATGACTTTCGGTTTTATTAAGGCTAACAATATTCAATCAAATAATTGTGCAAAGTAACCATTTTTAAAAACATTAAATTTAAACTCATTGACTGATTCAGTTGATAGATATTGAAGCAATGCACAACAATTAACTATTAGATCAACACAAATACATCATGGTTAGTCTAGCTAGAACAATGGTTTTCAATATTTTTGACGGTACAGAACCTCCACCAGTTTCATTAGCCCCTTTACCGAACCCCACCAGTTTAAAATGGGCATTCACCTAACATTTCTAAATAGTAATAGTGTTAGAACCACTGAGCTAGAATACTTGCTGTAAACATCTAATAGTAAGCGGGTCATGATTTGGTTCGATTTGAGATATATGCGGCTCACTGGATAGAGAAAACATGTTGTCACTTGTGTTCTTTTGCAATCAGATACGGTTCGATGTGTTGATGATGTTGTACCCTACAGGGAATATACATTATTTGATTAAGGTTTTATTTTTGACTCAATTGCTATAAGCACCAGTAGGTTTAGAACCAAATTGTAAGAACTAGTTGATCTACACAATTTATTTTTTTTTTTTTTTTTTTTTTTTATTATTAAGTTATTTATTGTACAAATGTCAAAAACAAAAGCTATTTCTTTAGTTGATCTTCTGTTATTGTATTAAAAACATCATCTGTGGGATCTAACTGGTAGGAAAATTCAGGTGTGCGCTGCAAGCGAGAGACTTTAGCCTCAACTCTGTGCACATATTTGTCTGACTTCTGGTGCTTCAGGACCCGACGGAAATCATTGGGTGAAATGTAGTGAGGATTCTGATAAAGTGTAGCACCTCCAAAACTCCCAGCAAAAACTCTAATTGGATTCAAAACAAACCGTGGACCTATTTCAGCTAGTGAACCTTCTTCAGCCAGAATCTGATAATTTCTAAACCAAATGCGATTATCTTGTATGGAGAAGGTGAACTCATGATCAAAGAAGGGTTGACTTTTTGGGTGGTGATTAGGTGTACCAAATATCTGCACAAACAGTTCTTTAAGCAACTGCCACTGAGGTTCTGTATCAAAATTCTGATCAAATGACAAGAGGGGACGAGAACCTTTTAAACAGTTTTTTTTTTTTTTTTTTTTTTTTTTAAAATATTTTGATTTAATGATGAGAATTGTAAAATTTTGGGTATTTATTAATACGTGGTTGTTTTTTTAATACAAAAATATACCTATATTTTTGTAGGATATTTAAAAACTTTAAAAGAATTATGGTTTATAACAATAATAAGTAAAAATATTATAATTTACACAGCAACCTCAACTGTTAAATAGTTTGTTAAATACGTTCAGTGTCCGAACTCAATTCGTTTTTTTTTTTTTTTTTTTTTTTTAAAAATACTTTTATTTGCTTTTTTTTTTGTTTTTTTTTTTTTTTTAATTACAATTTTATTTTATTTTAAAAACCTGAAAATGCAAATGAGTAATTAAATGATGATTCAATGGATTTTTTTTTCCATCGGCATGGTGGGCTGAAGTGGGGTTTGGGCTTTTAAGTAGAACTGAAATAAATTTGGGATTACAGAAAATTAAACTAATAAAAATGTTAAGCAACCGGAATGTTATTTTGATTACAATGAGACACATCAAATCAAACATTCTTCCCTATCAAACATCTATATCTATAGCCGTCCTGTCGCAGTTTTTTTATTTTTTTAGTCTAAACATTTAAAATAGTAATAATAATTTATTTGGTAGTTTAACATGGCAATTTTTTCCCCCACAAAATTTTACATGGTTAACTAATGGTAGATAGTCTCTTTTTTTTTAAGATAGTTTTTTTTTTTTTTTTTTTTTTTTTTTTTTTTTTTTTTTTGGTTTTTAACACTGGTTTAATTTAATCTTTTTTTTTTTTTTTTTTTTTTTACCACTGGTTTTTTTTTTTTTTTTTTTTTTTTTTTTTTAAATACTTTTATTTTCAATTAAAACAAGTACATCAACATCAAATTTTTAAACATAATTTTGAACACCAAATGAAAACGAAAGGTTTTGCAAATGTACATAATGAATATTTACATAATGTCATGTATTTGATTATAAAAAAAAATTGCAAAGGATGACAGTAAAAGGGGTGAAGGTCAAATGAAAGTGTCAGAAGTCTGGGTGGGTAGAGGAAAGGAAATTTTTCAGAGAGGGTCAATGGGACAGTGAAACATTTTCTATGTAGGGAAACAACTTAAGTTGACTAGTTGAAAGGGTGTTGTAGTGGTCGCATTTAGTTTTCAAAAGGTTGCAGTGTGAAAGATGAGGGGAAAGAGACAAGATAAATAAGTTCTGGATATTGATGTTGCGGTGGGTGGTGGGGTCGTTGGAACAGTTAAAGGGATTGTGGGGTTATCATGTCTGGGGGTAAAGTGGATAGAGGGGGAGAGAGGAGGGGGTAGATTTTTTTTTTTTTTTATTAATTCAATTGTTTTAAACATTTTAATCAGTAATAATAATATATTTGATAGATTTTACATAGCATCAAAGACATGAACAGTGAACATCAATTGCATATATAATAATCAAAGGGAAAAAAAAAGAAATGGCATAAGAACTAGATTAAAATAAGGTGTGCAAACTAGGTTTCTCTTCACTGCTTAATTTAGTGTGCTGCGGAGTCAAAAGTTCACACTGTAGCCACCCATGGACAGAAATAGAAACGAGCGTGGGAGAAGTGTCTCTGTAATCACGTACTGATCTATCGCTCCAAAACTTTCCATGACATAAAATTGACCCTTGGCAATGAGGGCACGCTACCTTGAAATGTCCGCCAGTCCGGTTGAGTGGGGGGGGGGGGAGTGTGTGTGTGTGTTGGGGGGGGGGGGGGTTGAGGTGGGTATCTCTTTCTACCATTCAGGTTGTGCATTTTAAAACCCGGGAAACAGAAGACTGTTCTAATGTTAATTTACTTTGGGGGCTGATCGAGTGATGTTTGGCTTGAGACTGTCTAAATTAAAATTAATACTTTATTTATTTCTTTCCTGTATATTTCTTTTTTTTTCTCAGTTAAGTGAGAGTTCCCAGTCTATGTCTTAGTTTTGCTTGAAATATTTCTTTTAACTCGATGTCCGTGTATTTTGTGAAAAAATATCTGACTTTATTCCTAATTTGCCATATAGTCGATCTATAAATAGCCATTGCCTTTTAAACAGTTTCCTGTTAGTTTCAACTCACTCATTGTATGAACATTTTCTACAAGGAATTTTACTGATGGACCTTTTGGGACATTTGAAGCCCATAAATATAATGTTTTCAAAAGCGTTATAAATATATTTATTATATCAAATATAAAGACATTTCAAATAATAAAACAAAATAATATCAACAACAAAAAGCATGTATTTTTTTATCTTTGACTCTATTACGGAGTTTACTGTTAACTATAGTTGTATTTATTAAAGCAGCTGGTTATACATATCAGTTAGTTACCTCCCTGCATTAGTTTCTGAAAAAGAAATTTGTAAATGTATAGTGTTGTTAAATATTAAAATAATCGTGAATCTATAGTATCCGTATCTTGATTAAATATTTTCGTTAATAAAAATAAATGTGCACTATATAATTATTGATTCCAATGAACCTGATTTTTTTTTTAAAATATACATATTTATTTACATAACTGGCTGAATGCGCCAAAATTAGAACGGGAATATTTACGTTTATCGTAACTCTATATATGTGAATCATATAGCTATCCAAAAGAGATATTATGTAGAATGGGCTGTGTATAATGTATTGTTTCTACTTCTATATGATTGTCAAACTGACCTACAGCTTATTTAAAGGTGATAATTTTTATGATTTCGGCTAGTAAAATGGATGACAGGGTATGGGGAAGCGAGAGACTTAGTTACAAACGTCAAAGATCTAAACTCTAGACTGTAAAAGTTGATAGACAATTCTCTAAGGTTTTGGTTTGAATATAGTAGAAGAGTTCCACTATAATGCCTCTGTAAAACAAATGTCACCTTTTTACTTTCTCGTATATACGTAGTATAGAGAAAGTATTGTAATCGTGCAAAAAAAAAATCGAGATTTTTACAAATCTCGACGTTTTACACCTCACTGATACGGAAAAACATAATTTTGCAATCTTGTCCGTATGTCTGTGTGTGTGTTTGTGTGTCTGTGTGTCTGTGTGTCCGTGTGTAAACACGATAACTTGAGTACCGTTACTGCTAGATTGATGAAATTTCATATATAAGTATTTTATCAAAATCGTAGATCCGTATCTGTCTGTGAGCGATTTCCGATAACCGGAAGTGGTACTTTTTCTACTTTGAATTTTTCAAAAGCCTATAACTTGAGTACTATTTCAGATAGATAAATGAAATTTCACTTGTAAGTTAAAGATCTAATTCTCTACCTTCTGTCAAATTGTTAGTAATTTCCGTTTACCGGAAGTACTAATGTACGCTATTTCCGATTTCTCAAAAAACGCATGTAAATTTATAAAGTACTAATAATATTCCGCACTATTAGGCACTTTTATTTTTGCGTTCGTTTGGTGTGCAACTCTTTTTTCTACGAGATTCGATTCTATTTTTTAAAGTTTAAGTAAATAAAAATCATGTCTATATTCCGAGCTATATAAGAATATTCGAGATCGTTTAGGGGAGATCACTCCAGGTTTATTTTAAATATTGACAGTTTTGTTGATAGAATCTCGGTTCAGGTTTAACTCTTTATATCAGGTAAGGGCAATGTTAAATTAATTTGAAAAGCTAATATAAGAGATAAGCAATACAATATTATTATTTATTCAGCAATATCTTTATTTTCAGCGTCAAATGTTCTCTACACAGAGTTATAACGGTACTGTATAAAAGACAAGGAAATGCCTGTATTCAAACGCCTCTAAAAACAGCATTAAACTAGCAATGCTATTTTATTCACGAAAGACGTCAAAGTTTGATTAACATCATAGCCACATATTTGACAAACAAAATATAAACTAAGAAACATTTTTCCACTTTAGCCTTTATATTCATAGATACAAAAAAAAAATGTGTATATGGAATATGTAGGCCTGTATCTTGCTTATTTAAATTTCAGATGAATTAATGTAATTATATCCGAATCAAGAAAATTTATTTAATTAATTCGCCTACGCTAATTTTCATTTATAAATTTACATTAACCAAGAAGGATAACCTATAACTTTGATTCCAAATATGGCTACATGTACAGAGAAATTCATAAATAATTTTGAAAAATATAAACATTGTAAATTAAAACAAGAATATTTTTAAGTCATATAAAAATGATTGTCTAACCTTGATTTCGTCATTTTAAATTATTATCAGGCTCAAGTTTTAATTACAAACAGCTAGCTGAATTAAACAATTGTCTTGTAGACATGAGGAAAAAAGTTCAGTTTTAACAATTTCCTCCTTTCTACTACTTTTGAAGCATACTCCGTTTAGCTCTGTTAAAAAAAAAAAAAAAAAAAAAAAAAAAAAAAAAAAAAAAAAAGCTCTGTTGTTTTAATTTGATAAATAAATGAATTAAACGTGAACTGGTTTTTTCTATAAAAGGAATTAAAAAAAAAAATTAAAATTTGAGTATAAAATTTTTTGTTCTAAAACTTTGTTTAACATTCTTAATTTTTAATTGGACGATAAATTTAAATAAATGGCTAGCTGAATAAAAAAAATAATGTTCATATATTTAAAAATTTAGTTTTTTCAATGTTGTGTCTGTTCTGAATGTTTGGGTTCATCATTTGTTTCGTCTCTATAATAAATGCATACGCATTTTAATAAATTATTACATTTCGATAACTAGACGTATTGAAATGATTACTGTTTGTAGAAAATCACACAACAGATCAGGGGCGGGAAACCCTTGAACAAGGTTTCGGTTTTTACCTTATTATCTACCCCCTACACCAAACCGACACTGATAGTAGTATTTTTTACCTTTTAAAGGTGTGACCTAATACAGTACTATAAATACGGCCATTTAAATACGGCACTGTATAATATAATATAATATGATGTCATAAATACAGTACTTTATATATATATATATATATATATATATATATATATATATATATATATATATATATATATATATATATATATATATATATGTTACGGTCAAAGCCCGAAGTCGGCCAATGCTAGGATTGGCCGGCCAAATCGCCTCAAATAGGTCGGTCAAAGTCCGAAACTTTGCTTGATTTCGGCCTTTGGCCGGGCAATCCGCAGACTGGCCATGGTGGACCGGCCAAAGTCTTAATTAGAAGATCATCTGGCTAGGGACGACCTGCCAAAGTCCGAATTAGAAAATCATGAGCAGACTTTGGGTTTTTTTTATGCCGTAAGGATCATTAAATTAAGTCTTTATTGATTATTAATTAAAGTAAAAGACAGAAACATTCAACTTTTGTATTGTGCTATAGTCTCAATCTATCAATAACATCATTTGTTACAACAAGTTGAACTTTTATGGCATTTAGAATTACATAGCAGCTTGTTATTTTTACACTTGCGGCGATTTGTTGTGCATTTAGTTGTGCAATTGCAGCGAGTGTAGCCTTGGCCCCTAGTCTGCAAACACGCTTCGGGGATCACCTCTGTCAACATCTGGAAAACGGATGTGTACATTGTCACCCATTTCACCATCTTTAAATTTTGTATTTAATGTTTTAAGCATCTTAGCATCTTGAGTTTGCAAACCAGTATGAGCTGCTGATCTGTGTTCCATGATGTCTTGTTTGTTGTGACACAAACTGCAGGTAATGTTCCCTCCGTACCCTTCGTCTACTTCATTGGGTATTCCACAAATAGCATGGACATCGTTGCTACAGGATCCAAAAGAATGAGCTGCACTACAATGTTTTTCACAAACTATACAGAATCTGTTGGCCACATTATTGTCTGTTCTGGGCGTTCCGCCACGGCAGTAGATGTGCTAGCTGAGGATGTCGTTGCATTTATGGCAACCTCCATTTCTTGTTCAATGTTCTCAAGATCTTCCTCGGTAACTATTTTATCGAGAGCCCATATATGGAAACTAACATGGATTTACATTTTTTTCTTTTGACAGCCATCTGCTATGTCTGTCTCATAGTTTGACGGCCCTTTTGATCCATGTCGCCTTGCTTATAGAATGCTATACAAACAAGAGCTAAACAATACGTTACTCTCAATGAAAACACACCCAGAATAATGAAAATGCGATCACAACTTAGTCTAGATAGAACATTGGCCAGGACATCCTGGCCAGTGCGCGCATTGGCCGGCCAATGTACAAAATACGCTGTCAAGTTTAAGCGGTTCGGACTTGGCCGAACAATGTACGAAATACGATCTTAGTGCTAAGTTCTTCGGGCTTTGGCCAAGAGAGCCGGCCAATGCGAGCCTCATGCGTCTCTTTTTATGTCAGGATGCGGCTCGCCAGATCCACAATAATTATATTATTTTATTTTCATAACTCATAAAAATATTATACTAGAAAACAACTTTAAACAAAATAAAAACACTAAGAATAGGTGGAGTAGAGCGTATACAAACAGCTGACAGCTGCATGGACACAAGGCCCAGCTCCACAGCAATTTTAGTTTTATATACCGTTTTATATTTATGTATGAAATTTTGTTTGCTATTTAAACTTTTAAAATTCTTAATTTTTAATTAGAAACTAAATTTAATTGAAAACAACTAGCTAAATCAAATAACTGACACGTATACTAGTAAAGGTTCAACACTTCCATTTCATTAACCTTTGGATCTTGTGATTCTTAGGGGAGAACTTGTTTTTTCTTTCTTTAATAATCGCAATTTTAACATAACATTAAATTACACATTTGCATTTTAGGTCTAAAACATAATTGTAAATAGATGCAATGTATTATTATAAGAAAACTATCCTAAAATAATGAAAAAACAAGTCAGAAAGAAATATTACTATTGTAAATCTGTATCAGTCCTCGCAAGCCGATGATGAAAACTGTAATACTAAAGCGAACACGACAAGGCAAACTGACGCTGTAAATTACATGTCTGAGGGGTGGGGGGATTAAGATAAAAAATTACAAAAAGTATATATTTAAAATAAATTATTACAGTTTGGATAACTAGACGAACCAATGTATTAAAATGATTACTGTTTGTAGAAAACCACACAGCAGATGAGGGGCGGATAAATCTTGAACAAGGTTTCGGTTTTTACCTTATCATTCCCCCCACCCCCATCACCAAATACACCTAATACAGTACTATAAATACGGCA